GACCAGGGGAGGCTGCTGCAAACCAGCCTCTGTCCACAGGGAGTCTGAGCTCCCTGTGGACAGAGGCTGCTCCACATTCCATGGAGCAGCCTCTGTCCATGGTGAGTCTGGGCCTGCTGTGGACAGAGGCTGCGTCACAGCAGCAGCTCCTGTCTGTGGGGAATAGGGATGTAAGTGACTAGTTGACCATCTGATAAGCGTAAGCTTTTAGTCAAGTAGTGACTCGACTAGTCACTTTCCACCCCCTTGCTGCCTCTATCCAATAAGCAAATTGCGTAGCTTATTTTGAGTTTTTCAAAATAAAGTGCTATTTCGAGACATCCTTAATCTTCGTGCAATAAGGGTTACCGGGATGCTGAAATAGCACGCCCGTTATTTTGAAAAATATTTTGAAATAACGGGTGGCTTGTTAAGATGCAGCGTATGGGGTATCCTGAAATAACTTCGATATGTAGACATACCCTAGGAGTGTAGACCAGCCTCAGTCTAAGAAAATTACAATACTCAATGGCTGTCAGACTTTGCTGTTTGCATCTGTTGCTGGGATATTCTGTATTGTTTCACATCAAGAATCTGGAGACACCGGTGGGGCGGACAGAGCTGGAGGATTTCTCTTCATAAGCAAGCGTTTTTGTCTCTGACTCAAGGGGCTTAGAAACCCTTTGATGTGTACAGTGGCTGTGTGATTCTTAATAGCTTAATGATTCCATGTCAGACTGGAGGCAACATGTTCAGCTGCAACATGCTGTACAAGGAAATGGAATCAATCAATCTGTGCATCAGCAACCTCTGCAGTGACTAGGAGAGGAGGGTTGAGAACCAGAACCACCAACTAAAAACCAAGAGAAAAGTAATTCTAATAGAATTATATAACGAGGTTTAATTACCTTGTTTTGGGTGCCTTTTACAATTGTCTGTTACGGGTCTTCTAGCACTCCTTGCAAACTAAACTGAATTGGTATTGATTGATGCATTCATGGGTGTCCGGTGTCATTCATCATGATTATATCACTACCAAATTCACAGCCACAAAAACATGTCATGGACCATGACCTCTTACCTTCCCCCAGGAAATCTGGCTATGGTAAAGGAGAGGTAGGGTGGTGACGTTCCATCCGGGGCTTCTACCATGGGCTGGGCTCCAGCTGCTAGTCCTGGCCTGAGCTGGGGGGGATGGGACTACTTCTTCCCCTGCAAGGGCTGCTCAAGGAGCCAGATCAGACCCACCTCCAATAACTTCACCCAGCAGAAGGAAGCTTTGCAGCTGTTGAGCTAGGACATCCTCCAACCCAGGCAGGAGAATTCTGGAAGAATGTGGACATACGGTAGCCCTACTCTGTGACCCTCATTTCTAGGCTGCTGAAGTGGCGCTGGTTTTCAAGCTTGGTGCCTGACCAGCAGCTACTGTTTTCCAGATGCCCAGCTCTGAGGGCAATGTACCTGTCAGCAACAGCACAGAAGTGAGGGTGGCAATCTCCACTCCTGACAATAACTTTGCAACCTTCACAGCACCTTTTTGAATCCGTTCCCCACTCCTTTACACCACCATTAAATTGATTAATTTTAAAATCCTATGACTGAAATTGACCAGAGTAGACCATGAATTGGTTAGGGCCATAACAGACTTCCTTTAGTGGCTGTTCTTTCTATCCCTCGGAAAGTTTGAGTGTTAATCTTGGAGTGGGTGGAAGCATCTTTTTTTAAGCTTAATTTTTAAATATCTGAAGGTATTATTCTGCCACCTTTGGCAAGAGGCATATCTGGGGTTTTGCTTTTTTTTTTTTTTTTTTTAAGTCATATCTTAAAATAAAGCCACGCTCCTCTTGGTCAGTGCACCATTCTGAACGTTGGCATGTTGTGAATCCTTCTTATCAATGTGAATTGTGCTAGGACAGAAGTTTATTAAAAGCAACCTTCTAGGAGTTTTCAGCTGAAATGGCAAGTGTGGCCCTGCAGGTTGTGGGGATTTGGTGCTGAAGACAGACTAGCTACCAGGGAAACTTGTTTTGAATGAGTAACTTATTCAGATTGGTAAAGCACTATGGAAACTGGTAATTAGGCTCAAATCTGCCTTTTAAAATCACTCTTTGTGCCAGATCCACTGTAAAGTGTGTTTGTCTTTCTGTAAATGTTTGTTTTTTCATACCCTCTGTGAAATAAGGGCATGGTATCAGTTATCCAAGTGGAATGAAGGAAATTAAAATAATTTTGCATGTGGGGGAATAATAGGTGCACACCAGGAGGATATGACTTCATTTTGGGGTATGCAGGTAAACAAGGCTTTTCTGCATTGGGAAGCTTAGCAGCAGCATATGGACTCATTGTGGGTAATTTATCCCAAAAGGCAAATTCCATGTTGCTTCGTCAATTTAATGCTTGTGATAGCATCAAAAGCCCAACGCAGGCTAGGCACTTACTCAGAGTGGAAGCTCACAACACAATCTCGAATGTGGAGGGAGAAGAGAAAATTACTTCAGTTAAGAATTTATACATTACTGTTGTTAGCAGAGAAATGTAACCTTTCTCCAAAACCAACAACTCCTTATGACATCTGACTTTTTCTTAGTCCTCCCACTCAGTTGCCGGTGTGGCTGTTGTCCTGCTAGACAGGTTTTATGCAATATTCAAATCTTTCTTTACAAAGTAAAAGAGTGGGACATATTATTACTTTTTTAATAACTGCATTAAAAATTTCACTTTCTGCAAGCACCCTTGTACATAGTATAGTCTGGAATATTTCATATAAAAAGCTCTTTAAAAAAAATTAAGGATTTTCTAATGTTTTCTGGCTACCTGCTGACACTAAAGGGCCTGCTCAGCAGAGGAGAGCACTTGGGCACAGGCGTAGTGTCACCCACCCTGTTTGTGCCTGTTCTGGCCTTGATAGCAGCATTGCAGTGTAGGGCTTCTTAGGGTATGTCTACATAGGCTAAAAGCTCCAGGCCATGAATGCTCTGGAAGTGAGGCTAAATGTTTCTGGGTAGATATTCTAGCTTGAGCTGGAGCCCATCCTCTGAGAGCCTTCATGCTTGTAGGCTCCTAGAGCTTGGCCTCTGGCCTGAGCCGAAACACTTTTAGGCTCAAGGTCCACAAGCCCAAGTCAGCTGACCGGACATCCCCATAGCTTCTAGATTTCTGGAAAGATCTGTAGAGGAACCCTTTATGCACCCACTCCTGATTTGAATCATAATAGTGTTACTTGAATAGTAGTAAGTACCGATATTTTGAGACAAAACGTTTGAAGGGCTTAAATTGATCATTTCCCTTGCTGAAGTATGTTTGCACTGCATCTGGAAGCAAGCCTCCCACCCCAGCTAGCTCCAGCCCCACTAGTGTACATGTACATTGAACTAGCTCAGGAATGGCCAACCTGCGGATCTCTCCCCGCCTCCCCCCAATGTGTGGCTCGTGAAGCCACCCCCGTGCCCTCTGAACACGGCCCACGGCTCCCCTGTGCTCACCGGGGCAGGGGAGCCGTCTGGATCAAAATGGCAGCTCTAATATGGCGGCCGTAGCTGCTGATGGGAGCCTGCCAAGGCCAAAAAGCCTTCTTAAAGAGCCAGTCTTTTGTTTTTCTCTCTACAACTTTTTGCCCCGGCTATTCGCACAGGATCCAGCTGGATCTTGGCTCTTCATCTGGAATGGGTTGGCCACCCCTGAACTAGCTCAAGCTCAGCTAGTTTGAGTCTTCCTGGGCTAGTAGGCTTGCTGGAAGCTGCACTATAGACTTCCTGTGTCATAAAGAACATTTGCCAACAGACACAGGGATCTGCTGCTTTGGGATCCCAATCTGCAGGATGGGTTCGAGTTGCTTGAATGTGCAACATGCTAAAAATACTCTTGTGTTTTAGGAAGAGACCATCCTTTCTTTTTGTGCTCATACTTTGAATGCTGAGAGTAGAAATTATGTAAATACAGCCTGGAATCCCCAGCAGAAACTAAGGTACAACGATTATAACCAGAAGGAAACTGGCAGACTATTGCTCCACAAGCTGGCAGGGAAGTTTCCACTAATCAAATGAGGCAGAAGTAAAGCATAAATTATACCAGTGCTCACTGGCAACAATGACACTTCTTGGCAAATGTCCTGTTTTGAGGAGGTTGATTGCAGTACCTATAGCTTATTGTGCATGCATTGTCTGGTCCCCTAACTCTTGTGTTCAGTTCAGACAAGTCAAGAATTCACTTCTGATTAAGGGGGAGGGAAGAGCAGGAGAAGTCAGCGGAATGTATGATTGCCAACTCTCCAGAATTGTCTTGAAGTCTCTGGGAATAAAGATTGTCAATTGATGAAACCTCCAGGAATATATCCAAAGTTGCCAACCTTGTGTTAATGCAAGATTATGCAGGTGTCAAATAGGGATGTGAATGGTTAACTGTCAAGGGCTGCTCCAGCACCACGGGGTCCACAGGCATGGGGGTGCTCCAGCCTGGAGAGAGCATCCCCCTCCCACAGTGGGTCCGGTCCAGCGCATCATGGACAGGGCCCTTGCCTGCACCCGTTTAAATGGTTAACTAATTGGCACTAGGGATGTGTAAACTTATGGAGCATGTGTGTAGACAAAGGTACAGGTAGATAGGCCTACCTCACAAGGCATTGAAAGGCTGCCAGTACCTTGCCTACACTTACCTGGTGTTCCTGCTGCTTTTACAACTCGTGGAGATCTACCAGTGTTAACATTGAAGGTTCATCATGAAGTAACTGATGTAGACAGTAGGGATGTTGACTATCGGGTATTTGTATAAATGTGTAACCGCTGCAAATTTTAGCAGCCGGGAGGGAGCAGGGAGGAGCCAGTGCTTGCAGGGAGCTGGCTTAAAAGGGGCAGGAGGCTCCATGGGAGCCAATATGTTTGGGGAGCCGGCTTGAAAGCCTCTTCCTGCATGTACTGGCTCTTGCCTTCTCCGCGCCCCCCCCCCCTTTAAAGGGTAGGGGGAACAAGGCAGATCAACAGGAGGTGGTGCTCCTGCAGAGCCAGCTTTTAAGCTGGCTCTCCTGGATTATTGTGTGTCTGCCCCGTCCCACACCGCTGCCTTTGGGAGGCAAGGGGAAAGGAGATGGCTCTGTTGGAGCCAGTTTAAAAGCCAGTTCCCTGAGCGTATTGACTCCCACTTCCTCCCCCACTGCCTCTGATACTCACCCCCTTGCTGCCTCTGTATGTGTAGATGATAGAATGAATCGATAAGCCCAGGCTTATTGGTTAATCATGTAAACACATTGACATCCCTAGTAGCTGGGGCCGAAAAGAGTTGAGCTGAATAGCAAAAAATCTTTTTTTTCCCCCCCCTCCACAATCATTTTACAGGTGAACCCTTAGCATGCAACTGAATTTCTTTTCATCTTAAACATTGACTCCTAATAGAAAATGTTATTGCATCACTTAAAACTCACTGAGATATAAGAATTGTATTTCACTTTCTTCTCTTGGAAACATTGGAAAGGTGCTGCTTTTAATAGTGTGCGGTTTAAAAAAAAAAAAAAGCCTTGCAGAAATAACAAAGCCTCATAGATTAGACCAAGCATTAGGAAGAGTTGCCTCCAGAATTAACTAGCGTATTAAGGCATAATGTAAAAACACTTTTTAAAGCAATTAAAAACAATCAGTTAAATAATGTTATTGCAGTGTGTTAGTCTTACCCTCACCACAGATCAGCATGGAAAATTGAGAAGAAGGTTTTTTTCTGTTTTTCACTCACGTGGTTTGAGAGAAGAACAAATGGCTTCAGGTTTCAGGCTTGTAGTTCCTTAAAGCTCACAGATTAAAACAGGGGACTGTTTTCTTGTGGGTGTTTTTTTAAAGTCATACTCTTTACTAAATGTGTGTTTTTGTTTTTGTTTTTTTTTCCTCTGAACAGGTTGCAAAATAAAAGCGTTAAGGGCCAAGACAAATACTTATATTAAGACCCCTGTTCGTGGAGAAGAACCCATTTTTGTCGTCACTGGACGGAAAGAGGATGTAGCCATGGCCAAAAGGGAAATTCTCTCAGCTGCTGAACACTTCTCCATGATCAGAGCATCACGCAACAAAAATGGTCCTGCTCTGGGTGGGTTGTCATGTACTCCCAACCTGCCAGGTCAGACTACAGTCCAAGTCAGGGTGCCTTACCGTGTAGTTGGGCTAGTGGTTGGACCCAAAGGAGCTACAATCAAAAGAATTCAGCAGCAGACCCACACGTATATAGTTACTCCCAGCAGAGACAAGGAGCCAGTCTTTGAGGTTACCGGGATGCCTGAAAATGTAGACCGTGCACGTGAAGAAATAGAAATGCATATTGCCATGCGCACTGGAAACTACATTGAGCTGAATGAAGAAAATGATTTCCATTACAATGGTACAGATGTGAGCTTTGAAGGAGGCACTTTCGGATCTGCGTGGCTTACTTCCAATCCTGTCCCTCCTAGCCGCACCAGAATGATTTCTAATTATAGAAATGACAGCTCCAGCTCCTTAGGAAGTGGCTCCACTGATTCTTATTTTGGAAGCAATAGATTGGCTGACTTCAGCCCTACAAGTCCATTCAGCACAGGAAACTTTTGGTTTGGAGAAACGTTGCCTTCTATAGGCACAGAAGATCTTGCAGTTGACTCTCCTGCGTATGACTCCTTACCAACACCTTCCCAAACCATCTGGACCCCTTTTGAACCAGTAACCCCACTCTCTGGCTTTGGTAGTGACCCTACTGGTAACATGAAGACTCAGCGTCGAGGGAGTCAGCCATCTACTCCTCGTCTGTCACCTACATTTCCTGAAACTCTGGAACATCCACTTGCTAGGAGAGTGAGAAGTGACCCACCCAGTACATGCAACCAGGCTGGCCTTCCAATATACATCCCTGCATTTTCTAATGGTACCAACAGTTACTCCTCTTCCAATGGCGGTTCCACATCCAGTTCACCACCCGAATCTAGACGAAAGCATGACTGTGTGATATGCTTTGAGAATGAAGTTATTGCTGCCCTAGTTCCTTGTGGCCACAATCTCTTCTGTATGGAATGTGCCAACAAGATCTGTGAAAAAGAAACGCCATCGTGTCCAGTTTGCCAGACAGCTGTTACTCAGGCAATCCAAATTCACTCTTAAATATATATAGATATTATATATGGACTTTTTAACTCTTAAAGGCATGGGTGTAATGATAACCCCCTACCCCCCAGTAAACTTCCTAATTAATTCTGACTGTTACTGGGCTTTCTTGGGATTAGGCTAAAGTTGTTAGTAAACTTATGCTTTCTAAAAGGCTGCTACAGTAACACTAAACTTAGATGGTCTCTGTCTGGTTTGGTTTAAACAGATGGCACGTTTAGCAGAGATACATCAGGCTATGGAGCAGAGGGAAAACTTCTAGATCAATTTCACAACCAAGAAAACAAATTAATTTTACAGGTTTTTTCCTAGTGATCTGTATTAAAGTGTTGGTAACTTCTATGTTCTGGAGGCAATGAACCTCATAGCCTCAACAGAGAATTAGTCTTCTCTACAGGGTTCGTGGTATTACTGATGTATCAAAAAACACTTCCAATGCTGCCTTCTTTACACTGCCAGTTTTGAAATAGGTTTTGGGCTTTGTTTTATTTTACAACAATTTACGCCTAATTCTCCAGTATTGCAAATAACTTTTTAATGCATAGTTTGATTTTTTTTTTGTGGGACTAGATAAGGTTGTTGGCAGTTTTAAATAGATCACTGTTTATCTGGGGGGGAGGGGGAAATGGGACTGCCAAATTGACCTTCATCCACCCCGTTTGTGAACAATGGTATGTTCAGAGGATCAGGAATGATTTGGTCTCCTTCATTGTGAATTCCTACCCACTGCTTTTCTTAATGTAATGCGGAATAGCCTGACTGGGGCTCGATCCCATTTCAATAAGGGCTTTGGGGTGCACATACTTTGGCGAATAGTGAGGATGCTAACATTCCATTCACTAGTCTGATCAAGGTGTTCTTAAATGACATTTTAGAGATTATATAATTCAAAATGTGAAGCATTTTTATGTTCAATCCATACTTGTCTTGCACATTATATAAATATCTATATTTTATTTTAGTAATGTAAAGGAGAAAGGGGGAGGAGTGTATGTGCTCTTGTCTAATTCCTGAAAGCAGCTGTGACCATGGCCCTTCAATCATTTTACATCATTTCAAAACTGTTTCCAATTGCAACAAAAACTGTCTTTCAAATGTGCTGCTTACATTTCAACCTGTGGATGCCTCTAGCATCTTCATCCTCAGTATGTTCCAAAATCTGTGCTGGTAAATGAAAAAAGAACCCC